TTAATAATGATTTTTTTTATAAAAGTCGATAAAACTGTTAATAATAATCTGTAAAACGTGTCACAAAACCTAATGAATAATAACATTAAAATATTTGTTATCTATTCGTTATATTGCATTGAACTGTTTATTAGATTACAATCAAATATTTTTCTCTGTTTGATTCATTTGGACAGAATTGAATATAACTTTTAAATAGATTTGGCTTTTAATATACAATTTACTTGTAGTGTATAATTACGATGTCAGTTGTTGTTGTCCGGGTCAGGTCCATATTCACAGGGAACCACTTTCAATAATAGCTGGCATTGCTTTGTTATGCATTCTGTTAAGACAATGTTGATAAGAATTTCATTTTGCTTATTCAAATAAATTCATTGAATAACTCACTGATAAGATTAGGAAATCTAATCTTGTATTTAACGAACGGAATATAAAAAAGGATTCCGGAGACGATATAAAAGGCGGCGTAAAGGTATTCAATTTTTGGCTGTTCTACAATGGGTGCGATCACCAGGTATATCGAAATCACAAACACTATGACAGGTATACTCAGATGAACCTGTTTTTCAATATAGAGAGAAAATTTAATTGTTTACTAATATACCTAACGTCAAAAACAGTCTTATTTTGTCATATTTTCATAACAAATACTTCATCTAAACAATAATTTGAGTGAACATTTGCGTCATCTAAAGACATATAGATTTGTTTTTAGCACAATTGTTATATAACGGGTCATTTTGTGGTCTAACAAGATCAATCATCTTTTACAATATCACCATAAACAAATGATCCAGTATATTAAATTCAGTTATATTCTAATGTGACTATGATATCAAACTATGTTTATATAATATACAGATATAATTTACGGTATATCCTGCTACAAATACCCTATTCAAAAATTATTTTAAAATAATTTTGATATGCAATTTAAAATATTGAGTCTACTGTAAATATTAATAGGGTTGTGTAAGTTTATAAATATGATAATAATTGTCTTGTTCAGTTCTTTATATTTCGTTGAGCTTTCTATAACAGTAATGTATATTTTATCTATAGATTGAAATTAAAATTAGTATATCAATGTCTTGTGAATATACTGTAGTATATTTAAAAATACTGTAGTATATTATTTGAAGATAATTATATTAAAGAAACTGAATTTTTTATTTTTGTTAGAATTTGAATCATTAAAAAATAAGTAAAAGTCTGAGAATTTGAGTGATTGCGTGATCCACTCAATACGTATATCCATTAAATTTGTCTCAACTTTTTTTGGGCCAAAAGATGTCTCAGAAGAAGAAAAAGAAGCTCTCAGTAAACGACACGGAAGTCATAAGTATTATTAATATTGCCTTAAATTTACAATTAATGTGTTAATAACTATGAAGGTATGAAATTCTTGAATTCATTTCAGTGTCAACTAACGGAACAATAGTCCAGAAATTATTTGATGGCAACTCTAAGGACTATGAATCAAATGACAGATTGAGGAATATTTCTGAGGGAAATATCTCTATTGTTGGCCTTAAGAGAAGGGTTGGACTCATTAGCGGAACAGCTCTTATTGTGGGCACAATGATCGGTAGGATTTGTATACTGACATTAATATAATGACATTTTTAGAGTGATTTATTTTTAATGATATGCTTAGCATAATGTGATCATTGGATTGACAAAAGCTTTCTGCAAATAGATTTATGTCAAGAAATATTAAGATTCTATAAACTGAAAGCATTATTCAAAATAATTATAAGATTCACAAATGTCACCAACATATGTATGAACTCCATTGAAGACAATTTTGAATAACATTAGTTGAAATGTCAAACAAAAAATAAGTTCACATTTCAAGTAATACTTAAATAGTACTTTTCATATTTGAATCAAATTGACAATTTAAGTTTTTAAAAAGTTTCATAACTTTTCAATTTAACAATTATTCATTTCGCGAGACTTTATTAGTTAAAACGACTATGTGCTAGGACACCTTAAAGTTTGCAAATTACTGTAACATTGAATTATACCATAAGAAAATGGTATAACTTTTTTATTTTAACAATATTTTCTTATAGTATAATTCAATGTTAATTTACAAACTTTAAGGTGTCCTAGTACATAGACTTTTCTAGATATTTGAAAAACTCAAAATGTGAACCTTGTTCATTTTTCGAACTCTATCTAACCAACTAAGTAGATTTGTTCTGTAATCCATAGAAAATTTACAATAAATCTACTTTTTCTCCCGGTGCTATAAATTAGCAAAAACTTTTTAAAAATTTTTATATGATAAAGGATTCAATTGCATACATTTTCTATATTATTACTTTGCTATAATCCTATCCCACTGGTTCTAAAATTATTTAAAACTCAGTTTAATGACATATCCGGCGTCCCTGGCCAAAAGTTATTCATTCTAGAGCAAATTCATTAGGGGCAGTATCCGTACTTTTTGACCCTCTTTCCAATGGTGTATATATAAAGTCCATCTAAGATCTATAGTTTTTACCCTAGGCCGGATGCCAGCACCCATCTCAGCCCCTTTAGTAGCATATAGGTGTCTTCGGGAAAAGGAAGACACTATGAAAATACGAAAAATGTATCATTTTTTTGTTTATTTTTATTTGATCTAGTTTACGAGCAAAGTCCAGTCCAAGTACTTTCCTTACATTCTCATTATATTTTCGGTATAAAGTGCTAAATAACACATTTATCTTAAAAGCATGTCCATTTGTACAATTTGCTCACTTTTATATGACAATGAATCTAATCAATATAAAGTAACCAGTACAGTACTCAAGTATTAATAATCCATTTACTATTCTATGATCGAAAGGAAGTGGAATATTCGTGTCTCCGAAGGGGGTGTTGGAGAGGTCCGGTTCGGTAGGCCTGAGTTTAATCATATGGACAGGTTCTGGTCTGATATCTCTCCTAGGTAAGATACAGTATTCTTAGAGATGTGTTGCCAAATTATGAGCTAAATATATTGTCTGTCTGTCATCTACAGGTGCGTTATGTTACGCAGGTATGCAACATTAGATTAGGATAATAAGTAATATGACAATAAGTAATTGAAATGATGTCATGTCATACAGAGTTGGGAACACTCATCACTAAATCCGGTGCCGAATATTCCTATATTCTCGAGTCATTTGGAGGTCTTTTAGCGTTTCTCTTCTCGTGGATCTCAGTGTTTGTGTTAAAGCCGGCGATGTTGGCCATCATATGCATGACTCTCAGCGAGTATGCGGTGCAACCATTCTTCGTGGGCTGTGCGCCGGACGCCTCGCCAATCAAACTCATTACCATCTTTTTTATAGGTATGTATTTTGGCTCTACTTTTAAGCGTTAAAAATGTACGAAATTTAATGCAGCACTCAATCCATGAAATTAAGAGTTGGTTTGACTGTTGTGTCAAATAAGTCGACTTTAAATTAGCGGTACGTCTGAAGCCTTTTGTATTATGTAATGGTTGTGTTTGCTTCACTTGACAGTCACCATCACTTTTGTCAACTGCTATAGCGTGAACTTAGCGACGAGTACCCAAAATGTCTTCACCGCTGCTAAACTATTGGCGATCATTATTATAGTCATCGGAGGTATTGTTCAGTTATTTCAAGGGAAGACTGCACTCATTTCGAAGGGCTTTCAGGGATCAAAATACTCGCTCTCAGACATCGCCACATCCTTTTACAGCGGTCTCTGGGCTTACGACGGATGGTATGCTCTTATGTCACAGACTTTTATATCAATGTTTCTTAACTTTTAAAACTTTTATTCAAAATGACAAATGAAAATGACCCTCGTTGTTTAGGAATAATCTTAATTATGTGACCGAAGAACTCATCAATCCATTCAGGTATTGACTATTAGGGAAAAATGAAAATAAGATAATTTCTAAAATCAATGGTTATTTACAGGAATCTTCCGCTGGCCATCATATGTGGCATTCCTATGGTTACCATTTGCTATGTCCTCGTCAACATCTCATATATGGTAAACATATTAAACAAATGATTCGTAAACAGTAATCAATTACTTATGAAACTAATGAAAACTAAATTTCCAGACTGTGATGACTACCGATGAGATACTGGCTTCTGATGCGGTCGCTGTGGTAATACTAATCAATTACCTAGGTATCAAATTTGCTTCTAATATGTATTTAAATTACTTTCAAGACATGGGGCACTCACGTGTTGGGAATGGCAGCTATAATAATGCCAATTTCAGTGGCCCTCTCATCGTTTGGCGCTGGCAATGGATCGTGTTTTACGAGTGGGAGGTTAGTTTGCTTTCATCATATTTTGTTTATCATTCAAAATAAATATTATATAATTATTTTAATCAAAATGTATACTAAAGGTTGGCGTTTGTAGCGGCACGAGAGGGACATTTAATAGACGTGCTGTCATTCGTCGATTACGAGCGATTCACTCCATCCCCGGCTCTCATATTCAATGCATTCCTTTCAAGTAAATGTCAAATGAGTTGAAAATTCATTTTCATTTTAACTCACGTTTGCCTTTTTCCCATCGAAACAGTATTAATGGTAATTCCGGGAAATATTGAAAGTTTAATCGACTTTTTCAGTTTCACGGCCTGGATGTTTTATGGAGCCACCATGTTGGCGCTTATCATCTTGAGATATAAGAGTCCCTATAAAGACAAGTCTAGGCCTTATAAAGTATGGCTCATATTTGTTATTTGCACCATTGTTTCAGAGTTTTATTCAAATTGTGAAATACCAGTTGTTTTAATCCTTACAAATTATTAATAATTAGTATATTTAGGTCAAAATCATCTGTGAATAGCTCTATGAATACAAAAGTAAATTTCACATATACAGTAGCACTAAAATTAACTATTCAAATAAATTAAGCTTACAGTTACAATAATATTTCTGTTTTTATGATATAAAATGAGTTGTGTTTAGAATTTTACATTTATTACAAACAATTATTTAATACAAAAATTATTTTAGGAAAGATTCATTATTTATATAAAATATTAAAACTCATATTAAATATATCTAATCGATATTTAGAATTTTATATAAAGTACAGTACTTTTGTACAATTTAATAACTTTATAATCTTTTTTATAAGAGTCTTATTATTCTATAAATAGTAACAAAATGCAATATTATATAAAAATAAAGCTTTAAAACAAACGATTATCATTTTAAAAATTTCAATTCAATGGTAAAACGATTATTTTAGATAAAGTTTAATATATTGCAGAATAAATGTTTTATTATTTTGAAAAAATGACTGATTTGATATCATCTTTGAAAAACAGGTTCATCTGAGTATACCTGTCATAGTGTTTGTGATTTCGATATACCTGGTGATCGCACCCATTGTAGAACAGCCAAAAATTGAATACCTTTACGCCGCCTTTTATATCGTCTCCGGAGTCCTTTTTTATATTCCGTTCGTTATATACAAGATTAGATTTCCTAATCTTATCAGTGAGTTATTCAATGAATTTATTTTAATAAGCAAAATCAAATTCTTATCAACATTGTCTTAACAGAATGCATAACAAAGCAATGCCAGCTATTATTGAAAGTGGTTCCCTGTGAATATGGACCTGACCCGGACAACAACAACTGACATCTTAATTATACACTACAAGTAAATTGTATATTAAAAGCCAAATCTATTTAAAAGTTATATTCAATTCTGTCCAAATGAATCAAATAGAGAGAAATATTTGATTGTAATCTAATATACAGTTCAATGCAATATAACGAATAGATAACAAATATTTTAATGTTATTATTCATTAGGTTTTGTGACACGTTTTACAGATTATTATTAACAGTTTTATCGACTTTTATAAAAAAAATCATTATTAATACTAATTTTCATTTATAATTGTTTTCTATTAAACGAATAAATTAAACAGTTTATGAAGTTTAGTTTTTTAAGTTTTCTTTACTTCAAATTGTTTTAAATATGAGTTTGATATTGAAATTATATAATATTTTAAAATATAAAAATACAGAATATATGAAAATTAAATGAATAGATTTTTAAAGACTATTTATTTTGAGATCAAACACATAACAGAATATTGTTTATTATTGAGAGAAAATATAATAAATATAAATTATATAAATGTTATGTCATATAAAAAGAGAAATATTAATAAAAGAAAATGTTTTACTTTTACTCAATGTTTACAATAATTTCAAATAAAGCTCAGAATAAATGTATTAAAAAAATGATAAATATAAATTATATAAATGTTATGTCATATAAAAAGAGAAATATTAATAAAAGAAAATGTTTTACTTTTACTCAATGTTTACAATAATTTCAAATAAAGCTCAGAATAAATGTATTAAAAAAGTTGTGATTCTTTTCATTGAAAGTAATACTAAATGTCGGTCTCAATGGCACGACACGACTATTATCTTGTAATACTACTAGTAAACTAACTTTTTTAATATTGACTCAACTGTGTAACAAATAAGGGAACGGTAGATTGTACAGACACAGTGAATGGGTATACTGTATATACGAGAGAAAGTGTAATATAGAGTATAGTTATTGATATAAAATTCGATCGAAAAATGGTTTGAAAAGTTCCCAAAATAGGTCGCATTCACTATACAGTAGTATTGCAATTGAGATAAATAGCAAAAATCGATATAATTTTGTGGAAAAGCACTGAAATCGGCGTCATTTGGATGCGTCAGAAGCGCACAGAGAGTGAGCGGTCGGAGGGCTAGTGTGTTAACCCAAAGGTGAGTTAACATTCAGTCTCTGTTTATCGTTATTTTTGCATTTTATCTAAATAAACAACGGGATTTAACCGTAAAGTAATTTGTCAAAAATCTAGGTAACTATTCAAAATAATCAAAAAACCAATAAATCTTCTCATCTCATAAATTCTGTGAATATCATTGAAACGAGTTTTTCTATTCATTCTCATATTCCTATTGAATGTCAGGAATATATTTAATCATTGATTAGATTTGTAGACAAAGTCAAGTGTCGATTCAATTTTTCTCTGACAAATGCTTTAATCAAAATACAACTTCATATAAACAACACCTGTTTCTAGTGTTTGATTCCTAAATGTGAATATAAATGATTAAATGATTTTAAATGTGTAGATGTATTGAGTCGACAAAAAGGTGTTTCATTTGAGTTGAGGCGACAGAATATCCTTTTTCCAACAACACGTCTATTTTGTAAAATATTTTGCTCTGAGTTTGATATTGAATATCAGAATTTGTATTATACTGTATAAAACTGCACTCCATTTGCCACTACTCTGATCGCCGGCGACAAAGTATGAGTAGTCGGTTAACAGGGGGTAACCAAACGAATACTATTCACTGCTTTTGGTGAGAAGTTATGGGAAGAGGTATTGAGTAAATGCCTGTCGGAAGCAATATCGTCGTCAAAGTCAGAAACTTTGCCTCATTTTTGTTATATCGATATTACTATTGATTAGTACACCAGAACAACGAATTTTTTTTATACCGTTTATAATGACGACACCTTCTTCTGTTCTGTACATGCCTGTGGCTAACCCTTCTCTTCAGCAGCGGTGCTGAGAAACCAAGTCTCTCTAACACCCCTAAGTTTCTATTGGAGAAGAGGGGGCTGTCGTCCAGATTAGAGGCGGCACTTCATGCAGGCTTTGAAGTGGCGTTTACTGATAGTGCGGATACTGGCTGTGATGGCACCAAAATGGTCACAAGTAACTCCTCGGCCTCTTTCTCAAGGAAATCAAAAGACAGATCAGTGTTTGGACAGCCGGAGATAAATTACCAAAATCAAAGTTTTCATCGCAATAAAGGCCAGAGTCTCGACTCATTGGACACTCTGGACAGTGGACAGTCTATGGGAAGTAGCTGTACATCCGTCTCGGAAATACAGCTAAGAAATCTCGAAATACATGACCGAGAGTTCATAATGTTCTTATGTCTTAGAGACCCGTATCCTTCGCCAGTTTCGTGATCAAACCTCAGCAGACTACGGCTTCTGCTACCGAAGTTTGCTACACTAAGCGCGGTTAGCCTGTTCAGAAGGGTGTCGAGTGTCAGCGGCGACAGTCAGGGCGAAGAGCTCTACAGATTTTCTAAGCTTTTTATGAAAGATTTTGTCACAAAAGTTTTCAACGAAAGGTATTTATTTTCAAAACGTTTAATATAAAATTAATTTATAAATAGCAAGCAATTAATTATAAACACAAATGTTTTATGCTTTGATAGCAATGCCATCACTTTAGAAGAAAAGGCAAAGTTTGGTGAAATGTGTCGAACAGAGTTCGGGAGGTTATGGTTCGCCAGATATATCAATGAACAGGTGTTGTGTCGTTAACATAATTATTAATTATTTTTATTATATATAAATCTTAAAACAATTTTATCTCCATTTGTCTGATAGCGGGTTCACAACAAGAAAGTAAAAGAGACAACATTTTACAGTTTAGCCCAATATTTCGCAATCGTTTTATTCGAGTGCTCGGAATCCGATGACTTCACGCCCGCCAAGACCCTCATGAATATGTGTTTCACGTATTATCACGAAAACTACTCGCAGTCATCGCACGCCTCCCGACCCCACAAGCAATACTTGTATTACGGTATTTATTTTGTACCAAATTTGTTATAATTATAGATATTAAACATAGAAGATAATTGTATGAAACGCTTATATACTTGCGATAATATGGTATAAAATAATATAAAATAATATAAAATTTATGAAAACGTTGTTTTATTGTAGTTAACTAATTAGCTAGACTGAATGAATTAATAGCATAAATCCGTCATAAACTTATTGAATGAGTGATAATGAACTCCGACTAAGTTTTGAACCAGGGTAATGCGAACATAGGTTGTCTCCATTGTAATAAAACTGTACGTTGTTTTTTCCCGAAGAGTACCCCAATATCTGCCCCGAAAGTGTCGTTTATGACAAAATATATCACCCGAACACCGATAAGCTGGTCCACCAATCGATATAATGAAGTGCGAAGTGTGTGGACCCTCGACATTACTTAATGAATCGGATCTCAAGATTCATATGCGAAGACCAGCCTTACACCTGTGATGTCACCAAATTTGATGGATAAATGTGTGAAAAAAGATTTGCCACAATTACAGACTTGAATTTAGTTTTTCTAATTGTCATTAATTATAATTCATTCATCGATTACTCAATTGATATATTTAAATACAATACTAATTATCACTTATCTTTGAATTAATAATTTTTTGTAATTATGTTTATGTTTAAGACATTATATTTAGTATTAAATTATATAAATGACATGACATTTAACCAGTACTGCGAGAACAACCCATTTGGAGGTCTCTTCGCTTCTGGAACGCAGCCTTCTTTGACGCCCTGCAGTCCGAGAGGGCCCACAGACCCCCTCCCACTCAACGCCAACTCAACACATTCAACACTCAAGACATCACCGACGAGAACAAGTTTCAGCAAAACATCACTTTCGGACAATTGGGGTACGAATTGGTTGATAAAAAGTGTCTTAATTATGACTAAAACTTTTGAATCAAACATTTGAATACTTTTGAAAAGTAATGAATTAATTGAGAAAATCTATTCTCGCAGAGCGTTCACACATAACATGCATTCGTTTGGTTTACCCAAAGAATTGTGTAATGAATTCCTGAGGAAACAGAGCACTATTGCAAACCTACCCCCAGGTCTGTATCAAT